CACTGAGGTTTTTAATGAAGAGCGTATTGGACATTAAGGTTTTTTTGAGATCAAATAAACACCAAATTAAACTTTTCAGACCTCATCGCCCACCCCCTAACATTTCCCGTTAACAGCTTCTCTTCCCCGTTATCATCCTGCGATTAGAATCTCCCAAATTTAAATTTCTAACCCTAACTCACTTCCATGGCTAATAAGTGTGAGATTGTGCGAGTGAGTTGAGAAGATTAGAAAGTGTTCAACTGCACGACCAAGGTTACAATACGTACGACTAATCTGAGGTAATCTTTGAGTGTTGTTTTTGTTTGTTACAATGAATGGGTTGGTTAATCTCAGATTTAACCATAGCAGGAGGTGGGTTATGAAACCAAAGTTACAGTATGTGAATGGGGACGCTGATACAGTTTATGGGTTTGACCCTGATTATATGTGTTATCATGACATTTCAAGAAAATACAAGGATGACTTGGGGTTTAAAACACTGAAAAATATATATGTTTTAGAACCTGGAAAGGATTTGGACAATGGACTTTTCTTAGTTCAGGATGATGACACTATAAGGAAAGTGTTAAATCGTATAAGGAGATTTTCTTGGATTGATACTATAGAGCTATATGCTGACCATCAACTGGACGAACCCATTTTGATTCCCCTGATAGAAGGTTCATTTTCTGAAATTGGTAACCATGAGATTGGTGATGAGAATGATGGTGGGGTGGGTGATGAGTCTGCCAATACAGATTGGAGAGACCAAAGTGATGAAGTGAATACAAGTGGTGTCCCAAATGGGTATGTTACAGATGAAGAATCAAATAGAGGCTCAGAAGATGAAGAGAGCAACAATTCTGATTCATCCTCTGATAATGATGGTACAATCAATTACAATGCAACAGATGGGTCAGATTTTTTTTATGAATGGAATGACCTTTGCAGATGCTGAAGAGGCTAGGACTACAATTGCTAATTATGGTGTTAAATATGGTTACAAGCTGAAAATCAAACCAAATGAGAAGAATAGACTGGCTGTTAAATGTTTGAATGAGGAAGGCTGCCCATTTAGATTATGGATTTCTCAAGATGGGAAGAACTATGGGTTGGCAGTGAAGATTTGTAACACTGAGCACAAGTGTTTCCGACACTATTCTATTCCTAGTGCTACTCAAAAGTGGCTTGCAAATTACTTTAAAGGGAACCTGGAGAGAAATCCTAGCTTTCGAGTTGCTGACATGAAAGAGAAGAAGTTGAAGATAAATGTTAGCTTGTATAAATGTAAAAGGGCTAAAAGGTTGATTATTCAAGAAATGGATGGTAGTTATAAGGCTGAGTTTGGGTACCTAGAAGCATATGCTGCCACATTAAAGAGGAGTAATCCAGGTTCAAAAGCTGAAATTGAACTCTGCAGTGAAGCATTGAAAGAAGGGAGGAGAGTATTCAAGAGAATGTTTGTATGCTTTGCTGCTTTGAGGCAGAACTGGCTGGCTGGCTGTAGAAGAATCATTGATGTGGATGGTTTCTTTCTAAAGGGTGTTTGTAAGGGTAATCTGCTGAGTGCAGTGGGGTTGGATGGAAATGGGCAGATGGTCCCTATAGCATGGGCTGTCATTGATAAAGAAAATAAGTCTAATTGGAAGTGGTTTTTGAGTTGGCTTGTTCAGGAGCTAGACCTGAATACTGGTGGTGAGTTAACACTTATTTCTGATATGCAAAAGGGGCTGATTAGTGCTGCTCAAGAGGTCATACCAGATGCAGAGCATAGGTTCTGTGCCCGACATGTGTATGCTAATTGGTCAAAAAAATGGAGAGGCAATGAGTTTTGCAAAAAGTTTTGGATATGTTCCTGGAGCACATATGAAGAAGAGCTGCAGCTGAATCTTAAAAAGCTTGGAAAATTGAGCACTGAAGCTGCTTCTGACCTTTTGAAGTATCCAGTTCAAACTTGGTGTAGAGCATACTTTACTAATAGGTGTTCATGTTGGATGGTTGATAATAACATCACAGAGTCCTTCAATTCATGGATCCGGGAAGCTAGGTCAAAACCTATTGTAACCATGCTGGAAGATATACGATTGAAGGCAATGAAAAGAATTTCAGAGTTCAAGACAAATAATGATAAGTGGATAAACGATTGGTCTCCCTTATGCATGGAGTACTATCAAGACAATAAGGAGGTTGCTAGTGGTTGCAATGTTATATTTAATGGGGATGTGGGGTTTGAGATTGGAGAGGGGACAGATAAGCACACAGTTGTGTTGGATAAGATGGTCTGCACTTGTAGAGCATGGGAACTGACTGGAATACCATGCTTACATGCCATATGTGCTTTCTATTATAGGAAGGTAGATCCTATCACCTACATTTCAAGATGGTATCATAAGGAGACTTATATGGCAGCATACGCAAATGCTTTGCAACCGGTACCTGGAAAAGCTTTCATGAAGGTTGATGATTATGAACCCATTTTACCTCCCCCAGTGCCAAACCTACCTGGCAGACCAAAGAAGAACATGGTTAGATCATCTACTGAGGTCAAAGGATCTGGAAGTGCTTCTACATCTGCCAGTGCTACACCTCAGACATCATCAAGAAAAGGGAGACTACAAACTTGTGGGATATGCCATAAGGAGGGCCATAAGAGAGCTACATGTCCTAATAAAGATAAAGATGTAAGTAGTACATGACTTTGAAGATGTAAACTGCAATATTGATTTATTGTGTTTTCATGACTTTTTTTTATCTTTTTCTTAGGCAAGTGTTCAAGGAGCAGAAGGGAATGGACCTATACCTGTGAAGAGACCTGCTAGTGTTGCTTTGTATTTATTAGCTTATTAGCTTTTTTGCAATGTAGTCGTTTGAAGACTCACTGGAAGCTTAGGTGTTTTGTATGAAGTTTTACTACTTCTGGCACTATAAGGAACTGACTGCAATTTTGGGGTGCTAAATTAAGGCTTATAATGCTTTTTTTTTGTATTTTGTAACCTCATTAACAATCAATATTATGATCCCTAATGATGTGAAGTTATGATATAAGTTCTTTTTTTGTTTATATATGTTGTTTATTCAACCAGACCATGTTGGCATGAGGGCTTTCTTCTACAGATTGTATTATGGTTATGGTATTGGCTCTGATTTCAAACTGCTCTCAAACTGGTGTTATCAGTACACTACTTCATTTGTGGTGTTATCAGTACACTGCTCTCAAACATAGTAATACAACCATACCAACTTATTAAAAAATTCTAACAACAAATTGTATTTTCATATTAAAAACAAAACCAAAGTGTTAACTTAAATTCAAATTCTAACAGCAACATGTATTCAAACTGTTTACAAGGTCATAACCAAACCATTTTACAAGAAACTGAAACTAACATACTAACACACATAATACTACAATAAGGACACATAACAACACTACAATAACATAATTATTCTTCATTTTAGTTTTGCTTTCCAATTCCAGATGGGCTGCATCATTCATACTGTTGACTTCTTCAAGTTCACTCTCCAACTTTTGAGCAACACTATCACATTCCAATTCAAACATTGCAGATTGCAGCCTCCTATTCTCCCGTTTCAGCTCATTGATAACATGCCTTGCTATGTCCGTTAATGGCTCATCATGCCATTCAAAGAAGCCACATCCATCCTTCTGAGTATACACAAGAGTATGAATATCAATATGAATATAAATAAATTATACATATTCATGATCTTCTCCAGTTCTCATATGTGAAAAGAACAATTAAAAGCATACCTCATAATTAGGACATCCATGAAATCTTCTCCCTGGATTCTTGTCAGTCCATGAAGTCCAAAGTGGCGCCTTGATGCGAGTTCCATTTGCATTCATGCATCTGCAAAACCTAGAACGCCCAGAATAAGGTCGCTCATAGATGCTTCAAAGCTTCACTGAATCACCGGACTCAGATTTCCGTGCCTCAAACGACCTCGATGCTGAAGGAGTAGCCGACATCACTGCTTTCTTCTTCATAATCTGTCTGAGATTGTATTTATTAGGTATATATCAATTAGGGTTTTTGTATATTTAGGAGATTCTAATCGCAAGGTGATAACGGGGAAGAGAAGTTGTTAACGGGAAATGTTAGGGGGTGGGCGATGAGGTCTGAAAAGTTTAATTTGGTGTTTATTTGATCTCAAAAAAACCTTAATGTCCAATACGCTCTTCATTAAAAACCTCAGTGTCCATTTTGGCCCTTTTCACCACATACTTACATAGTTTTAAAATATGTAGACGAATTTCCACAAAATACTAGATTGAATGAAGAAATAATTGATCAGACAATTTACAGAAGATTTAGGATATTCATACACTATTTAAAATTTTCTATTATATATGTACTTTTTTCATAAAAGTTTTATACATAATTAGATGTATTCTCCCATTTATCATAATTGTTTTTAAATAGTGTATGACTGTCCTAAATCTTTTGTAAATTGTCTGATCAATTATTTCTTCATTCAATCTAGTATTTTGTGGAAATTCACCTACATATTTTGAAGCTATGTAAGTATATGTATGTGTGTGTGTGTGTGTGTGTGTGTGTGTGTCCCGTTCCTGTCATGACGTCCTGCCCAAACCCCGTGCGGAAAACACCATCAAAGGGTCTTTCTGGTGGATTTTTTTGATGAAATGTTTTGAGCATGTTCCTCACCAAGTTTAGTTTATACATACTAAATTTCAGCTCAAAATTCAACCGGGAAGGCAGTTAAACAAATTTTTGAAACATACTGCGTTTTATATGTGTACAAAATGTGCTGCAAGAGAAGAGCCGCCACTTCAAGTGGCGGCTTTCTTTAATCACGGCTAACTCAGCAGTATTTTGGAATTTATTTTTAACCCAACAGTATTTTGAGAATTATTTATTAATTAACATTATTCCGGGAAAAAACTCTAATAGTTGTGTTTGAAAAAAGTAATTAAAATGTTTTTACTTGGACTGTTTTCAGTCACATAACAAATCAGATCAGACTTAAACATATCAGACCAGATCAGACTAGACTTCCATAATTGTAAAATATATAGAGACCGGACATTTATAAGACCAGACTAAACCAGACTAGGGATGTTTTTACTTGGACTGTAATTCATCCCAGACCAGACCAGACCAGACCAGGCCAGAGTTGGATAGTTATAAAAATACAAAGAAACCAGACCAGACCAGACCAGTTCAGACCAGACCAGACTAGACCAGATCAGACCAGACCAGACCAGACCAGCAAATTACAGTTCAAGTAAAAACATCCTAGATCAAACTTAAACAAATCAAACCAGACTAGACCACTAAATGTAACTCCAAGTAAAAACATGCATACTCAATATGTTTTAGACTTTTAGTCCTAAAAAACACAGTCCTATACATTACTACGTACATACTCCGGCCCAATACTTGAAAGTATGAAGAATAGACCTATGGGCTATTGCCAAGCCCTGCTGTCCAAAACGGTCCATACCAGCGAAACATCCAGCAACCACACCAGAAGTCGCTGCTAGCCGGGATTTCATGCTGGATTTCGCCGTCGCCTGGGGCCGAACTGATGAGGAAGGAGACGAGTCTGACATGTTCGGCAGCGCTTGCCTCCCTTCATCATCCGCAGTTTCGCCCGCTTTTGTTCATAAGTAAACTAAATCAGGGAAGATGAAATCATTACAGCTCGTCGTAGCTTTGGACTCTTCAGAATCAGCTGGCGGACGGTGTCAGGTTCAGGAAACGGATTTTTGATGAATATCTTGCCGATTTTCCGAATCCATGTTTTCTTCACTTTTTTCAGGGTTTCGAGCTATTTATAACCGCTGGTGGCACTTGCTCCGTTCATATCTTCTCGCCTTTCAAGGTGCACTTGTTTGGAATTGATTCTGTTTGGGCTTCTTTTTTTTAAAACAGAATTACTTGTGCACTTTCATCAAACGCTGCTCTTCTGAAAAGAGCAGAATCAGTTTTAAGAATCAGATCCAAACAACCCTCTTCAATTAGCTTCCTTCTGATATGTTTTTGCATTCAGTTCTTAACCTCAACTCATCTACCATAATTTTACTTTCCCCTGGGCTTAACAGCTTGCTTCCGTACACAGTAGGTCTTCATTACGAATTGAAGATCCCTGGCCCAATTCAATCAATTCTTCTTATTATTTGTTTACCTCTACAATATCTTAGGTGTCTTAAATATCAGCTGAATTGCTTGCAAATGCATGATGAAACAATGCATAGCTTTTTTATTTTTTGGAAAGCATCCTTCGTTGAGATTTTTGTCCTACTGATTTCTTTTTTCATAATTATACACTTGATCCTATGTTTACTCTTTTCTTTTTATTATTGTACATTGAATGAATGAAGGGTGTCTTTTCATTCTGAAATTTTTCATATGCTGTTTGTACTACAATATAGGATTCACTCTTCTTCGGAGAATAGTGAACTTGTCTTTCAAATAAAAGCTCACACAAGAGGATCTGCACTTCTGCAGTTGTTTATAGTTAACTTATTCTAAGTAATGCTAGTGATAACAAAAATGATAATATTTTGAAATCTAAGGATGTTTTTACTTGGATTGTAATTTGCTGGTCTGATCTGGTCTGAGTTGGTCTGGTAATGTCTGTCTGTATTTTATAACTATCCAAGTCTGGTCTGATCTGGTCTGGGATAGATTACAGTCCAAATAAAAACATCCTAAGAGGGGTTAGTTAGCAGTTACAAGATTGTAGAACTCTATAAAAAAATAAAAATATATGGTAGCCATTCGATAAATATTCTAAGTTCTATTTCTGACTTTCTGTAGTATGGTTTGCAGAGAGTTCCATCTAAATCTGATAAAAAATCTAACAGCATGATCAAAAGCATCCAAATCATTATATTTGAGGGGGAACCGATTTATTTTATCCATTTAAACTTGAAGATCAAAACCAGAAGTTTTACCATTAATGTTTGAGTTTTTGGAAAGTGAAAGTTAGTGATAATAGGATCTTTCATTAAATGTTTCCTAATTTTTCATGAATTCTAGTTGACTTAGTAGATTGATTTTTGTTAAGCTTACTTTCTAGTTTCTACCTCTTACAATTACTTTAACAGGAGGTGGAGGGTGATAGTTGATTGCTTAAAGTGTTCGGGGTAAGGAAATGTTGACTTGGTGTCACATTATGGTTTATTTGCTTTGTACAGATATTTGTAATATCTTAGTTTCAAAAGTAAAAGTTTAACAAATACACATATGATAGCATTTTCGGTGGCTTTCGCATGATCACCACGTATAGCTGAACTCGATACGCATTTGTCAATTGAGATTAACGGTGTAGGAACGTGTCTGTTTATTATTCTGCATGAGCTGATTAAAAGATTTAATAATGGTGGGCACAATTTTCTATAAATGTGCGCTTCCTTCTTTGGATAGGTAAATGCATTGAGGAGGAAAAGGAAATATTAAACTTCCTTAGGAGTTTTGTGTAAGATGATCATCAATTAATTCTTAGCGTGTTGATTTGTTCTGTTAAATTCAACACTTTGCTTGTCTAAAGTTAGTTCTTCGCTGTTATTATAGTAGTAGCTCAGTTAAATGCAAGTGTCTTTCTACATATTACATGACATTAAATATGTTTTATGAGGTCAATGTTGCATTATTTACATTTTATATATGTAAATACTAAATACTAGTGAATCATGCTTTAATTTCTTAACTAAATTAGTTCATACACACATTCATTAGTCTTGTTGCAGGATAACATCATACTTTGTTTTCAGGCTATTCTTCCATTTAGATAAAGATTCCCCTTTTGACAACTCTTCATACATGGCTAGTCCCTCTACTGTCTTCGAGATGAACAATCCTCAGCAGCATGGTCAAAATGAAGTAAGCAATAGTATAATTAACTAGGTGCTATGGTAGGCTTATGTAAAGGTTATGTCAATGTTTAAGTGTTTTATAAAACTACTTTTCATGCGAGATTGTGTGAGCTATCCTCGCACAGTTTTCTTGAACCCATTCCTGAACCTGGATAATGAAGCATTTTTTTTTTGTCTTATTGCCGTTGCCTTGGAAAATACAAACCAAATTTGAATATAAATAAGTGTATGTTTGGATCTCAGAAAATGGTAGGGAAGAGATGGAAAGACAGTTCTTTCCTTTTAAATTTCAACTTTATTTTTCTTGTTTTCTACCCTAGAATTTCCTGGGCTCCAAACAGACCCTCGAGGCTTTCTCTACCCGTAGCCTTACTCCCTGCTTCAGGTAGCAAGTGTACAGTGGTTGCCTCCTCTAGCCGTTACCTACCCCCCCACTTAAATGTATAATTTGCTTGCAGGAGCATGAACCAATTATCCCTGGATTCGAAACCCCGCCATCACCTAAGTCCAGTTATGACAATGTCTATAACATAAAAGAAGACGAAGGGCGAGGGCTCCCGCCTGAGGCTCCTCCATATCTTTTGGAACCTATGACCGTCAGGAGATTAACCACTGGTCAAGAGACACCTGACCAGGCACCCAATCGTGTGGTCTTGAACCATCTTTGCACCAATGCGTATGACAGGAAGTTTTCATGCGAACCGGTGGGAGTGGCAACAACTCACCGCGTTGGCTCAAAATACGTGACCGATGTTCTTTACAAACCGCCTCCTCAGAAGGGAAACGGGAGCCCCAGCTGCACCAGAGATGCTCAAGTGTAATAGTTTTTTATATTTAAATATTTATTTATAACAAAACTTGCAGTGAAATGTTTGTAGTGTTAACTTAATTTCATAGCGTGCATTAGGGAATGCTCTGGTTTGCATCTTCGTGGTCATAACCATATGGATTATGACCAGGAAGATAATAGTGATTTGATAGAGTTAGTTGTCATAACCAATTTGCTTTTCAAACAAAGCCTTATTCTCAACAGATCTTTTACCCTAGTCTTGCATGATATCATTAGGGGTTGAGTCAAAGTTCAAATAATAATGCATACAGAAGTTTAAAATGAACTTCACACATGTCTGATTGTGGGATAGAGGGCGGAGTTAGCAATATTATTATGTTTGTTATCATTGATAAATCCATTTTTGTTGTGTAATATTGTGTTTTTCATTTATTTAATCTTGTGGTTGATCCCTTTACCTGCTTAAAAGAAACATATAACACGAGTACTAATAATCTAATATGTACAAAAAAATTGGAAGGTAAAAATAATTTATCCAGCCCGGAAATAAATGTCATATTTAAGAGTTCAATTGTCCTCGTTATCTCAAAGGAAGTACCTCATTACAATGATCATAAGTAGGGATGGACTTGGCTCGGTTCGATCCTGATTCCGATCGAGATTGCCTAGTCCAAAAAAATTGGTTGGATCAAGGTCTGAACTCCTGAAGCGCCTTTTTCCGAGTCTGGGTCAGTTTCGGACACTCAGCCGGTCCGCTTTCAGTCTCGGACTCGGTTCCCGTTAATTTTTTTTCCTTTTTTGGCCGGAGCGAAGCTTTAGGAAACTGGGTCGGGACCAGAACTGCCCTGTTCGGTCCCCAAAACATTGAACCAGGATCGTGACCACCTGGTACCTGACCGGGTGCTTCGTCCCGCATCGGGTCGGTTTTCTGGACCCGATCCGAACCTGGAATGTCGACCCAGTCTACCCCTAATCATGAATAGTACTCCGTTGCTTGAGTTCAAGAGTTCAGTTATTGTGATTGTTATTGCAATTTGTTAATTTGTTTACTGTGTCTGAATTACTAATTGAATTTGCTTGCACATGCATGGTGAAATTATGTATAGCTTTTTTTAATGTTGTTGGAAAACATGCTTTGTTAAACTTTAATTTTCACAAACAAAACAAAACATGTTTTGTCTGTGAACGAGTAGAAAAAAAAATCTCTCACATTGATGGGTAAAAGGGTGGGTATAAGGGTGGGTATAGGGATGGACTCGGGCCGCGTGGCCTGACCCGGAACCGGCCCGAGACCGGTACTGTTCCGACCCAGCCCGACCCGGTGGCCCGGTCAGTGACCGGTCCGGGTAGGCCCGGCCCGTGGGTTTTCCGGTCCGGGCTCGGGTCACCCAAAACAAGGCCCGACCCGGTCGGGCCCGGTTCGGGCCAAATCCTATTTATTTTTTATTTTTTTAAATTTTCGGGTTGGATTGGATATTTCGGGCCATTTGGGGTGGTTTGGGGGTGGAAGGAGGGTTAATTAGGAAGAGGAAAACAAAAAAAAATGATAATGGGCCCGGCCCGGATCGGACCCGGACCGGACCCGGTGGTTACCCGGGCCGGTCCCGGGTCCACCATTTCTGAACCGCCGGCCCGCCCGAGCCTATGCCCGACCCGGACTCGGCCCGGACCCGAGTCCATCCCTAGTGGGTACAAATAGCATGGCCGTTTCACTTTTCCCCGCAACTTTTGGTTAGGGATGGACTCGGGTCCGGGCCGGGTCCGGGCCGGGTCCGGGTCGGGCCTAGGCCCGGGCGGGCCGGCGGTTCAAGAATAGTGGACCCGGGACCGGCCCGGGTAGCCACCGGGTCCGGGCCGGGCCTCCGGTTTGGATTTTTTTTTTGCTTTCCTAACCCCCCCCCCCCCCCCCCCCTCACCCCCACCCTCCCAAACCCTCCAAACCCATCCTACCCATCAAGCCCAACCCGAGTGGAACCCCAAAAATGAAAAAAAAATAAAAAAAATTCAATTTGGCCCGGGGCCGGTTCACCAAAATTGAGACCCGAGCCCGGACCTGCCCTACCCCCTGGGCCTAGGCCCGACCCGGACCCGGACCCGAGAACCGGTCCGGTCCCGGTCCCGCACAGTAGCGGGCCGGGCCGGTCCACGGGCCGTGTGGCCCGACCCGAGTCCAACCATACTTTTGGTACACTTTTGTTTTTAATTATTTGACATTGAATGGTGTCGAATAATTCTGAAACAATCAATTTATTGTTTTTGAGATCTATTACTAAGGAAGATCCATTCATGAAAGAATAGTGAACTTATGACTTAGTCTATTACAAAATCACTCACATGGGGATCTAGTGGACTTATCTATCGGAAATTTTGCTATTGATGAAACCATGATAGTTCTTTCAAGTCTAAGAGGTTAGTTACTCGTTACAATATTTTAAAACCAAATGAAAAATTTAATTTTTAATGAGATTCTTAAAGTCTTAATTCGTTTGTGTGGCCGGTTTGAAGAGTTCCATTTAAATATGTTAAAAGTTGTAAGTTTGTAACAACATGATCAAAGTAAATCACTGTAGTTGAGGCACTAACTAATTTTGTCCTATGTTTTGATTTTTGGCAAGCAAAACTTAGAGGTAGTAGGATCCTTCATCAAATGTTTCATACACATTCATAAAGTCACATTGCAGAATAACATTGGTCATTTTTCAGGTCACTTAACTACAAATGTCTCTAATTGGATTGAAACTTTCTGGTCTGATCCAAGACCGAAACCAGTCCAATTAAAAACATGCTAAATGTTGATAAACAGATTAGTTATTCACTTATTCTTAAGTTCATGTAACGCCTCTTGCAATTATATCAGAAGGCGAAGACAAATAGCAAACGGCTTAAAAGTGTCGGGTTAAGGAAATATCGAGTTAAGGCAATGACACATAATGGTGCATTTGCATTGTACATATATTGTAACTCTTTTGAAAATGAAATCCCAACATAAAATATATCATTGCATGGTTGGTGGCTCACCACAACAGTGTAGAAATGAGTTGAATTCAACATTTTGCTTGCCTGAAGTTAGTTCTTCAATCTTATGGTCTTTCTACAGATGACATGACATTCAACATGTTTTATGCGTTAAAGTTGCATATTTCTATATATTTTACCATTGCAAATATTAGTGAATTTGGCTTTAAATTCTCAATTAAATTTGTTCACACACATTCATAATTCATGTCGCAGGATAACATTGTTCATTTTTCAGGTCGTTCTTCCATTTAGACAAAGCTCACCATTTTGACAACTCTTCATACTTGGCTAGTCTCTCTATTCTCTTCAAGATGAACAATCCTCAGAATGATGAAAATGAAGTAAGGAGAGCCTACTTAAGCTACGAGCAAATAAAGGCTCAAGTAAAAGGTTCACTCAATGTTTTGTATTTGATGAAACTACCCTTCAAGAAAGAGTGCGTGAGCTGCCCTCACTCACTTTCTGATGTCATTTCCTGAACCTTTTCATGTTGCTAAAATTGTTTAAAACACAGGGAAATGGTAGTAAAAGGAAAAGACACTAAGGATTATACTCCCTCCGTCCCGTAAAACTTAACCAACGTTGACCTGCTTGTAGAATAATAAAATAAAAACCGAATGGATGAGATTTATGCAGTGAGAGAAAAATAATTTTAATCACATACTACACATTTATTACTTTAATTTTCAGAATGCTTGCAGGAGTATGATCCAATTGTCCCTGGATTTGAAACCCCACTGTTGCCGAGTCAAGCTATGACAATGTCTACGACTTAAAGAAGACGAAGAGCGGTCCCCGCCACAGGTTCCTCCCAATCTGCAGAAACCCATGCCCATCCACAGAACAACCACAGGTCAAGAGACACCTATCCCTCCACCGGATCTTGTCGTATTAAACCATCTCTACACCGATGCCTACAACAAACAATTTCCATTGGAAGCTGTGGGATTGGCAGCAACTAGACGTTTTTGCTCCAAACATGTCAGTGTTGTGCTTTACAAACCGGTTCCTCCAGAAAAGTGACGTGGCAGCCGCAGTTATGACTGAGATGCATGAGTTTGAATATATATTAAGTGGTAAATATATTACTTATGAGTTATGAAGCATCTATGCAATTTTTTGTTTTGTTTTGTTAGCTTCATTGCATAGTATGCAAATGTTTATGGCAAGCAATGGTGTACATCTTTATTGGACGTGGATGCATTATGCGATGTTCTTGTTAATTAATAATAATATAGTTGTTTGATAAAGCTGGGTCAAGCTCTATAACATATTAGACGTTAGACTTATTCTTTTTAGCGGCATTTGAAACTAAACAAATGTTAACAAATTTGAAACTAATTTTATGTGTTAGAATTATTATGCCTCTGCCGTCGATCGCCAACCATGTCCATCGCCGTCGGCTCAATAAGAACTCCCATTTTGGAACTTATTCATTGTTTGAGTCCTATTCAGGACAATATCTTTTTATTGAAATACTTTACTATGAGAATATTATTCTTTCAAATTCTTTTGAGCAATTTCTTTTAAACTAAAGACAGAGTTGGTAGGTTTAACAAATTTTCATGTAGCTCAATATTGAATGAAAATTTGCAATCCAATCCCACACTCGTTAGTCATGTTGCATATACATGTATCATCTAATTTCTCTCATGCAACACACATATACTATGTCTAGTTAAAATAGAAAAGAAAAGGATTTGGATTAAAATGATAATCCATTTATCCCACAAAATGGTTGGAATTCATGCTATTATGTATTTTAGTTATACCTTCTACCTGATTTTCTCTCCACTTGCTTATTAATAAAGTAAAAAATATGTACTTGTAATTGAGGTAGAGAATGTGAATGAACGTTACTAAATAATATTAACAAAAAGTACTGACCGAATTAAGTTAAAGACATTAACCATTGATAACAAGCAAATGTTTTAAAATCATCATAGGAGGAAGGAGTAAAATATTAAGTGGTAAGAATTTTTCAATGCTATGACACTAAATGCTAACATATAAACAATATGAGACTAAACATGATTTAACCCCTCTACGGCTCTATAGATTATAAGGTATCTTGACTATTGGAGTCGAAGATTGGTAATAGTATAAATGAGTTGAATACACAAAGCATCAAAATCTCAAAACCAAACAAGGCGAGCAACAACACATCAAAAGATGGATAAAATGGGTTGTCCTACAACAAGCTTAAACAATGGCGCAACTAATGATATTAGCAAACTCTCAATATTTCTATATTTTCTAATCAAACATTGGGTTCTGAAGTCTTTAAGAGCTAACACGTTTTTATGCCCAGTCCCAAGTATATTCTATTATAGTTCATGG